ATCATCTCTTATCTTTTATATCTTTCCTTATATCTTACCTCATCTCATCTCTCATCTCATCTCTCAGTCCATCTCATCTCATCCCTCCCATTCCATCTTATTTTATCGTATCACTGTCAGATGGATTTGTAGCTGGCTGACAAAGCATACTGAATGAGTAGTCCTTATTGGTACTACGGTATGTCTACGTCAAGGGAAGTTAGCAGTGGGATATCACAAGGTTCTGTCTTAGGCCCAGTACTCCTCAATAATTTCATAAATGATTTAGATGAGGGAATAGAAGGGGAACTCATCAAATGTTCAGATGACACTAAACTGGCAGGAATAGCCAACATTCCAGAAAACAAGCTCAGGATCCAAAAAGAGCTTGACAGACTTGAACAATGGGTCCTATCCAAAAAAAATGAATTTTAATGTGAAGAAAAGCAAAGTTTTACATTTAGGCAGAAAAAAAAAACAAAGATATAAATATAGATTAGGTGAAACCTGATTCAAAAACAGTAACTGTGAAAGGGACCTTGGAATCCTAGTGGATGACGTATATTATATTGAATATGAGCCAGCACTGTGCAGCAGCAGCCAAAAAAGCTAATACAATCTTCCTGAGTTTTTCACATATTCCTTCAATATATGGAATGACAACATTGCTTTATTTATTGTTCTTTTCTTTGTTATGGAACAGCTCCTGATGCATTTTTTTTTGCACCACTTCATAAATGCATGGCATAACTTAGGAGAACAAACAAGTTGAAAGACAATGGCAACTCTTGAAGACAGCAAAGTCCACAATATGAACAGAGGGGATACTGGTTTGAAAGAGGGGTCAAAGAGGGCATCTATGTTGAAATTGATCAACTATCTCTTAACAGAGGGGGATACAACAGTCCTTTCAGTAATTCCAAGAAGATTCCACATCCATTTGTACTGTTCTGATAACTCTGAGGACATAGATAAACCTCCAAGTGGCTTCAAAGAAAGTATTAACAACCAAATATAGAATACGATTTATAAGGAATATAAATTATTCCATTCTCCACCATTCAATCAGAACTAAAGGAGTTCTTGGATAAGAAGTAAAACATCTTTAAGGAAAAAAACAAAGAAAGTCCACTTTGGGACAACCATGATCTAGATGACTGAGAATTTCCACCAGGATCCAGTTTTTTGGTTCTAAGCATGACTGAGTCCATGTATCTAAATCATCATTATCATCAGAGTTGGAAGGGACCTTGGAGGTTTTCTTGTCCAACCCCTTACCCTATACCATTTCAGACAAATTGTAAAAATGCGGCAATGCTGGAGATTTGCTACAAATTGGAGGTTGCATCCATTCAACTTCAGCAACATGATGTCAGCTCTTTGCATTCATGATGGAGTCTACATAGGCTTTGCTAGATGTACAAACAGTCAGCAATTGTTTACCAAAGTATGGCTAAACAAATGATTGCTAAGAGAAATATGTGATGCCAATCAGAGCCATAATTGGCTGGATTATTATATTGTGTTTACCCTAAAGCTACCAAACATGGCATAATATTTAATACTAAACTGTCATCCTTTACTATTACTAGAATATTTCAAGTTTTGTATTTTCCACAGGTTTGATGCTCCATGTAGTCTTCTACTTTTACCACTAGATGGAGGCTTGTGGAGATGAAAAAAGGCCATGAAATGTATCTGATTATGGTATCTTAGTTTTTAGCTAAGTGTTATTAAGAATTTACCTTGAAATTCCTCCACTGAGTCTAAGTAGCCTCATATAGGGTTATGATTCTGACTATATTACATTTTAAAACTCTCTGTATGTTTGTATGTAAACATTTCTGCCCTTTTGAAGTAAAAACTTGACATTCACTGTAATTAAGGAGTACATATATTAATGTACAAATGTGAAAAAGACTAAATTCTTTTCCCCCTTACATGTTCAGTTTCTAACTTTAGGATATATTTTAAAATACTAACATATATTCTAATTCTCACTTACTGATTGTAAATGGGATTGGCAGCTCTGTTACTAAACAGCATGGTCAAAATCTATGACATCAGGGAGAGAATCATCCGTGGTTACTAAGAGGGATGTGACTTGTGACTTCCTGCTAGTTTCACCATTGACTTTGCTTTGCAGAAGCTGGCTGTGAAGTTCACAAAAGGCAATTTATGTGATTGTGAAATGCTGTGACTGTTATAAATGCTGTGACTGTTATAAACCAGTCACAAATGCTGTGACTGGTTGCCAAATGCCTGAATTACTACCATGGAATGTGGGGGTGTTGTACTAACCACAGCTTCAAGGAATACTTGTAACTCTCCTTTATCAGTGCTGTTGTAATGTTCAGTTCAGTTATGGCCCAATCCAGAAGTTATGCTTGTTTGCCTTTATGACCAATGATGAAGACACTGCAGCATCCCCTCAGCCTATCTTCTCCCATGCTGTCTACAGGGGCCCTGCACATTGCCCCAGACCTTAGTCCCTGTACTGGGTTCTCTCAGGTTTTAGCTCTGATTCCCACCCATCAGCTCCACACTCTCTTCCTCACTTATCTTTTGAAGTGCTCTGGACTCTTCTGCAGCACCAAAATGAATTGTTTCATGTGTAACTGCATGGCACAATTCTAGAAGAGCACCATGTGGGACGAAGGGTTGTGAGGACTCATTGTATGGGGGAAAGGCCTACAGAAGTCTATAGAGAGAAGAAAAGGCCTGTGGGGCCTGGTAGTGGGGGACAGGGGCAGCTCTTGGGACCCCAAAGAGCAGGAATGTAGTGGGGTGTAGGAAGTGGGGTGTAGGAAGATAGCACCAAGGGTGGGATTCTACCAGTTCGCACCTATTCGCTAGAACCGGTTGTTAACATTCTAAACAGTTCGGAGAACCGGTTGTTAGAAGAAATTACTGGCCAAATCCTGTAAGGAAGGCGTCGCTTACATTCTGGTGTCGCTTACAGAAATTGCCTAACCCTTATTACATTCTTGGCAGGACTAGACTTTCTGTCTCAGGAACTTCTCTGGAGTTATTTTTCCTGCCTTTGCTGGTACTTTGCTTGTGTGGAGTGACCATTCAAAGTTACAATGGCACTGAAAAAAGTGACTTATGACCATTTTTCACACTTACAACTGTTGCAGCATCTCCACAGTCATGAGAGGCCAGGCGAGGAGATGGGTGCCTCGATGTGAGTGATATTGAGTTGGTCATGCCCAGCCAATAACATGACCACCAAGCCATGCCCACCAACTAAGCCACGCCCACAGAACCAATTGTTAAAAAATTTGAATCCCACCCCGGTTAGTACCCACCTGTCTCCTAGAAAAATGAAATATCCTAGGAAATATTAAAAAGGCAGAATATTTCCCCTAAAAAGAGTAGAAACTCAGAAGCAGAAACTCACCTCAGAAGCTGAATCTCACCCCCACCTTTGTTAATGGGTGGGCCATTAAGACACCTTTGCTAATGGACCATAACTCTGGCCTGGGCCAGAATATTTTACATAACAAAGATCTCCAGGTAGAGCTATAGGAAGTGCCTAAAGCCCTTTCATTACATCATCATCCAGTAAGGCTCAATCAAGCCTGGAATTCAGGTGGAGCCATGTGGTCCAGACAAAGTCTACAAAGTTAATTAAGACCCCCGCCCCTGGGAGTCTGACAGCCAATGGGATACATTTCTTGCACAGGAACAGGAAACACCAAGGTGGGGCCCAACAGAGGGTATATAAGGGGTCTCTCAGCATCTTGGCCTTTCCCTTCTTTTTTCCTTCTCCTTGAAGCATGTGATCATCCTTTTCACTTTGGAGCTCCAAGCTATGTGTTCCTGTCCGCCATTAAACCATCCTTCCAAACAGCCTCCATGTTTCCAGTGTCTTTTTCCTCACTTGGAACTGAACCCAGAAGGATAATTCTTCCAACAATTTGGCACCCAAGCAGATGGGACTCCAAGCTAACCAATGGACCAGGCCCAGGTAATATTCCCTTGCCGGCAAGCAGACCCGTTTAGTCTGTGGGTGATTTCCTGGACCTTGGCCATTTGGAACAAAGGTTTTGAAGGGGTTTTGAGTGTTGAGCTCAAAGGCTGCTTGGAAGGAAAGGGAGTACCTCTAAATTCTAAATTAAAAGCATGGAAAATATGTGTATGCTTGCATGTGTGTGAGAGGGCTCTTTTCCCAAACACAACTGGATCCTGCTTCTTCTGTGCATTTCCTAACCGCAGAAAGACCAAGAGTCTGGAGAGCATGTGGGCTTTGCCAGAGCACAGGACCTTTTGTTCGGGAAGGAGGAAGTGTGTGTATGTGAGTGGCTTCACCCTTGGACAGCAGCTGGATCTCATTTCTTTGTTTGGCTTCTAGCTGCCCTCTTGCCTGTTGCTAGCTCCTCAAAGCCATGACCATCAGGACAGGAAAAGCAAGGGGGGGGCATCAGAGTGTGGGACCTTCTGTATATAAGAGGAAAAAGTCAAGCGGGTTATGATTGAAGGGAAGGAAGAAAATTTTGTGGTTTTTTGTCCATGTATCCCAAAAGCAAACCCCAGGATTTTAGGTAATTGTGAATTTAGGAAGTTGGGAAGTAATAGGAGTGCCAGTACTTGCTTGCAAAGAGCAAGTCCTCCCGGATTTGAGCTCTTCCAAATCCGAAACCTAGGGCTGTGGAAGGAGCACCAGTACTGGTCTGTTGGGGGCAGCAAGTCCTTCTGGACTGTCTTTTTTGGGGATAGTGAACTATTTTTGCCCCCAGTCCAAAAACCATAGCCTGAGAGTTCCCTCTGAGGGGAGTGCACATACTTTGAATAGGGAATCAAAGTCTCCCCCAGACACCTTTTTCTGTCTGCAAACTGATAGCCTGTTGACCCGACTAAGCCAAAGTGTGAGAACCCCACATCAGAAGGGGAAACATGGGAAACTGAAGTTTGAGAGTCCTGAGTGGAAGCCCCCTGGGAGAGTTATTGGAGGCTTGGGATGAGCAGTAGATGCCGGTCCTAGCTGATATAGAGAAAAGAAAAGAAAAATGTATATGTAGAGAATGAGCTTTGCTGAGGGATACAGGAAGACCAATGTGGCTAAATAAAGGTACTTAAAAAAGAAAAGAAAAATGAAAGAAAAGGGCAATATATAAACAGGATTACATGGGATTTTTTGTTTGTTTGTTTGTTTGTTTGTTTCTGTGTCTCTTTCTTTGTCTCCTATGCAGCCACATGGTTTGTTTCTTAAGATTTGTGCCTTTCCCAATTTAACTAAGAGATTTATTGTGGGAATGATCAGTGTGTGTGTAAACCTCAGAGTTTTGTATTCCTCTCTTTGTTCTTGTTTGTGTGTGAGTGTGTGTGTGTGTATGTCTAAGTCTTTGTGTGTCCTCGAGGTAACTGTTGCAACTGTTGCAAAGTTCATTTACAAGAAAAGTGTCATCCTTGCATTTATTGTGTGTTTAAATGATTTTATCTGTTATCTTTTTTCCTGGAGCCTGTGAGTATTTTTTTTCCTTTCTCGTCTGTTGTGTCTCCATTTTGTTAAAACTGATTTATCTGTTTAGTAACTGCAATACTGATGTATTGTTTTTCTTTTCCTCAAACCCTGCCTGCAAGCTATCTACCTCCTCCACCACCACCAAAAAAAATCTCTTATCCTGCACACAATGCCTTTTCTGATAGAATTACCAGCAAAGCAGGGAGGAGACCCTTGTTCTTTGTCTTTCAGCCCTGCAACATGTGTAGAAACAGATGCTGCCCCTCGAGGAGACATTCCATCCATTGGAGCCAAAGAATTGGGTTTGGATCCAGTCCTCCACTGACAGTTATCACAGCAATGAGAATGGAGCAGACCTTCCCAAGCCTGACTGACCACCCATACCACCAGACCAAGCCTAATGCCACTCAGAGACATGAAAGAAAGGACCCTGAGATGGACCAGTAAAAGACTCTTTTCAATCCCCAGAAGACAGTTAGAAAGATTATGGGGGGAGGGTGGAAATTCATTGTAATGTCAAATTCATTATAATGTGTTCTTTCTTGTATTATTTATATTGTAATCAGTCTAATGTACTCATGTAAGGATTGTATTTGAGTGGCCCAGCAAGTTCTGAACACCTTGGACTTTTGTCTGGTGGGAGGGAAAATTGTCCAGCATGTTTGTATTGTCTGTATTGTAAAAGTAGCTGCATACACAAGTACATACATAGAGACACACTATTCAGAATTAGACAGAGGTTATCCCCTTCATCTATTTCCACACAAAGCTGCTCCTGGCTTCTTTTTTTAATGTTTTTTGTTCTTTTTTTTTTTTGCTGCTCTATGGCATTAAGGCCCAAGCAAAACTCCCTGATAATTCCATGGGAGAGGGGGTATCCCCCACAGGCAATTATTTCACTTGAAGAGATAGCAGAAAAGAGATATCCAAACCCCAAGCCCTGACTGTGACTCACAAATGATGTTGCCCAGTTGCCTAGTAAAACAGGATATATTGCACTGGTGGTCTCATAAGTAGAAGTCCCAGGCCTGATTGTGTGTAATTTTAAAAATACTAAATAGCCTGGATTACACACTGGTTAACCTCAATTTGGCCTCACAAACCCTGGAAGCTAAGACCTAGGCAGGTAGTAACCATAACCTGTGAAGAATGTAGGGGCTTGTGCTTACAACCTGATTGTAAGCTCACAAAAAGTACATCAAACACCTGAAAATTAATTGCCATGAAAAAATTAGATACAGCAAAAAAATAATAATAATAAATTCCAGAACTTTTCCCAGGCAGCTAGACCTTCATGGCTGAAAGTTTTTGGGAGCCACTGATAGAATCCTTTTCTGTTGCCTTTTAACAAAGCCTCCTCTTTTGCATCAGAGAAAAATTATAAGCACCCATCAAGTCTCCCTGATCTGATCACCTTTTAATCTTTTTGGGGGGAAATGAGGAATTGCAGGAAGTTAGCACCCACCTCTCTCCTAGAAAAATGAAATATCCTAGGAAATATTAAAAAGGCAGAATATTTTGCCTAAAAAGAGTAAACTCAGAAGCAGAAACTCACCTCAGAAGCTGAAGCTCACCCCCACTTTTGTTAATGGGTAGGCCAATGTTAGTATGTAAAAAAACATGAACAAATTTCTCTTTATTCAAATTTTATTCTAATCAAATAATAACATAACAATAAGAAAATAGCCCATGGCAAAGGCATTAGCCTTGCCAGAAGTAGTTTAGAATGTAGAGGTAAACAGGAGGAGCTGCCAGAAGAAGCCAGCACACTTATTTAATTTTTCATTCCAAAATTAGTTCCCTCCCCTCTGCCTCAGAAAAATCAAAGCCCTCTAACTAATGGAAGAACTGAAACAAAGAATAACTGAGCATCTAGAACAATATTAAAACATAGTAACTTCATGCATTGAAGCTTATTCCAAAGAAACAGCTAGCACAAATATTAAAAAATGCCAATACTATCAAATATAAGCAGCAGCTCACTGCAAGAAATAAATCAATGCACAGCACAACTCTCTCTCTCTCTCTGTCTGTCTGTCTCTCTTCTATACTTAAAATTACTCAATAGTACTTGATCCTGGAAGGATCAGAGACAATAGTTGTAGTGGGTTTATAAGAGATTAGAAGCCCCTTGAGAACTTTCTGTATGTTAAATCAACGATAGATTGTTAACAGATGGCTTTGAAGTTTACTTTTGTAGTTGAGACTACCTATTAACTATTCTTGTATAATAGATAGATGAAGGTCAAATTGGTTGATTTATAATAGATTTCTATATTTGTGATATTTTTAATGCTATACAGATAATCCTTGAGTTATGACGGTAATGGAATATGCCCATTAAGGTTGTAAGATAGGATGTTGTTAAATGAAACTTGTAAAGTGAAAGAGCCCCAATTCTGACTCAATCCAATGCATTTATTAAACAAATGCACAGGTCATTATGTGTGCATGGGGTGCCTCAGGGATGTCTGCCTTAGGCCACCCAAGGCCTCCCCCCTCCCCCCTGAGATATCCCATGTTCAGCTTCCCATCTTTGGGATTCCCCACGGCACCTTCACCCCTCACAATCCCATGCTTACCTTCTGAAGATCTGCAGAATCCAGGAGGCCATATGGGAGGATTCCAGCAGCCTCTTTCTCAGCCTGTTTGAAACCTGAGCTGGGCAAAATAGCTTCATTATCAGCAGAGTCAAATCAGGTTACAATACTCAGCTTCTTTGCTGAGTAACTTTGAAAGAAAGAAAGAAAGAAAGAGAGAGAGAGAGAGAGAGAGAAAGAAAAAGAAAGAAAGAGAAAGAGAAAGAAAGAAAGAGAAAGAGAAAGAAAGAAAAAGAAAAAAGAAAGAAAGAAAGAAAGAAAGAAAGAAAGAAAGAAAGAAAGAAAGAAAGAAAGAAAGAAAGAAAGAAAGAAAGAAAGAAAGAAAAAGTGCTTTGCTGAGTAACTCCACAAGTGTAAATGTTCATGCTGCACAAAAAGAGTATTCTGGAAAGGTAAGCATTCTACAAAAGCTATCCCATCATTTGATGATCGGGCAGCTTCTGTAGAATTCCTAATTGTGAAACTCGAGATCATGCATAGTTTTGGGGGAGGTCAATTGTAACTTTGAATGGTCATTAAAATGACCTATCATATCTCGAGTATTACCTGTATGGCAATTTTACAAACATAGATGTATACATTCGTATGTTTGATATTTTGTTCTATACACCACTTTTTCTAAGTTTCTATTTCTGTTTTGTATTTTTTTCTTTTTGATTTTACAATTTAACTTTGAAAATAAATAAAAAATTATAAAAGAAAAAAGTGTACCGCAAAAATGAAAGATCACATTGGAAAACAAGATTAACAAGCTGAATCAGATTTATTTATTTATTTATTTATTTGATTTGCCAATTGTTTACAAGATAATAAGTATAAGTGTATACATAGTTGTGAATACATGAAATGGGTACATATAAGAAAAATAAAAGAAGAATAAGAGAAACAATAGGACAGGGACGGTAGGCACGTTGGTGCACTTATGCACGCCCCCTACAAGTCACTTCAACCAAATGAAACTGAAGAAGACTGAGAAATATCAATCAGAAACAAGGAAGATCAAGAAAGAATTGGAAATAATAAAGCAGCAAATGACAGCAATAATCAGGAATATCAGCAGATACAATACTCAAATTGCAAATTATAAACACAATCTCCAATTTCAATCCAATCAGAATTGTTTTTACCAATCTATTAATGAAGAGGCTGTAGCGAATCAATCAACATTTGGCAAGAAATAAACAGTGCAGTTCTGGGCACAGATATAGGATAACCCAAAGAAATATAACAAGAATGCAGTTTGCTTAAAGAGGGTGGATAAGAATAAAAAAATTGGGGACCCTTTCTCTTTTTTAAAAAAAAAACAAATTTTATTAATTTTTAAAAAACAATACATAAACAAACTAAACGTAGAATGTAATAACATAAAGCATCTTTTCTGAAAAAAACCAATAAGACATCTTATTTAAAGACAGAATAATTCCAAATTATCACATTTCCATACAAACACCATTTAATATATATGTTTATCTTATCTATTCAACTTCATATCTTATCCCAACTTCTCTTTATTTCTCCCTTTCCTTCTACTATTCAATTATATTTCTTTTGCCTTAGATTATATATATTCTTTATATCCATCTGTCTTATTTACAATTTCATTATTCTCTTCCAATGTTCCTCTTACATTCTTCTAAAATTTGATTAATTCAGACATAGACAAACAAAACACAAAACATAAATACATAAAACTTCTTTTTGGAAAGCGGCTTACCCCGGGTTACCTCTTTTTGTACAGACATAAATCAAATTCATGCTCACTTAATATACTATTTCATATCTTGTTTAGCATTCTGTATTTTCTATATATTTTCTCTCCTCTATTCACTCTCTTAATTCTATTATGTTTATTTCGTCTCAATTTAAATAATAATTATACTTGTATCCTTTGTCCGTTCTCTTTCAATCATCTATTTATCTTTTCTTTCTAATACAATATTTCTCCTGTAATCACTGGTTGAAGCATGACAACTTTCTATCTTTCCCCTAAATTTAACACTTGAAATAATACATACTTTCCACACTGATTTTGCTTAGTACATTCTAAGTAATACCTTTTAGAATAATAAAACAAAAATAGAAAAGGAATTGAGTTTATAATATAATAAAAACAATATTCGATAAAATATTAAACTCTATTGTTAACTCTTAAACATTTTATACATTCCCTTTAATGCATTATTAACTCATATAATAGTTCAATTTTCTAACTCAATTTCAAATACTAATATCTACAATACAATCTTATGTACTTTTGCAAAATCATATTTTTTTAAAATAACTCTTACCCTTTATCTCTGAAAAAAATCTGTTTTTTAGCATCTTGTTTTAAACCTTTATGACTTCTCTTTCCTTTCCCCCTTCCTTTCTTATCAATTCTAATCTTTTTGCCCCCCCCATCTCTCAAATTCCACTCTCTTAATCTTCTCTCTCTGTTGTGTTTCTCTTTTCTGTTGCTTTCTGACATTGTATCGATTTTTCATCTTATTTTTCCATTTCTTGGTTGCTTTTTTAAGTTCTGAATTCTCCATTTTCACTCCCCCTTTTTTCTTTTCCTCAACTATGACTTTTTGTCCATTAAAGATGGCTTCTTCTTCTTCATCCCAGTCCTTTTGTTGTTGTATTTCTTGGTAAGTAAAAATAGCCATTTCCAAAAAGTGAAAAATAGATCCAGAAGAGCCCTTGCCTTCTTGCTCCTCTTCTTGTAACTTTTGATATTCCATTTGTAGTTCTTCCACAGATAATGCCATTTTCTATTTTTCTTTTTAAAAGCAACCCAAATGTTTTTAGTCTTTCAAAAAATAGTTGCCCACAGGTCCCAAAGTCACAAAGCAATCCAAATCAGAACAAACTGTCTCATTAACTCTTCTTCTTCTTCTTTGTTTAATTTCTCTTCCTGGGGTAAAGTTCAGTTACAATTTCAAAATGATTTTTTGGAAGCCTTATTGCCACATATTTCTAAGTCTTATAAACTCCAAGCAGTCTTCTTCAATGGAGTCTTAGAATAAGTTTTTTACCTCTTCCTTCCCACATATAGCAGTAAAGTTTAATTTTAAATTCCAATGTTCCAAAATCTTTTGTCCCCTTGGCTTTAATTTTTAGGTTTATTTACCTTCTATGCCCAAGCAGGTTTTTCAGATTTCCATCAGCTATTTCCGTAGGGAAGGAGAGTGAGAGAAAATAACTTTCCCTTTCAAAACTTTCTTCCGCCGCTTACAGTCTTTTCTGGGAAACAATGTAGCAATCAAAAAATCAAATTTCCAGGTTTTTGAAGGTTCCTCGTTATCCCGGTTCAGCCAAAGAAAAACTTTCACTTTCTTCCTCCTGCACGATCTTGTCCAGCTGCAGGCTTCTTTGTGGCGGCCATTACTGACCGCCGCTCCACCACCTTGGGAAAAGGGGGTTTTGCCGGCTGGAGAGGGGGTCTGCGACACTCCCAAACCCCTGTCCGGATCCCCCTATCTTCAGCTGCCTCTATGGGGCAGCTATATCCTCCAAATCCATCTGGATCGGAGGCACCAAGGCAGCAAGCACAGCAGGAACCGCACGGAATCGCGGATCCCTGCCGCCACCGAAGCCTGGCAAACCGGAAGTTCGGGGGGACCCTTTCTCTTGCCCGCCCTCTACTGCTTCAAACTGCCTGAACTCCCCCTCCTCGTCACCCTCTTCTAGCTTGTAGTCCCCTTCTTCCCCCCCTTTCCTGCCTAAGAACATCTGCTAGGAAGATAACATTTCAGTGAGCCTTCTGGATTTTTTCTTATTTTCTTCTTGCCTCTGTTAGTAAAAACTTTAAAAGTTATCTTAATCAGTTCTGAAATGCCTTTCCCTGGACCTCCTTCTTTTTTTCTGTAACTTCCTTCTAATATTCTAAGTAGCTCGCTTCTCTCTTATTTGACCCAAGTCTAATATGACGTATGGACCTGGGCTGGGTAAGCCTTCACCTTGCCAGCAGCAGGCCATTTTCTTTGTGGATGGATTTTTTGGGACCTCATTTAGACATTGAATTTCATTTTGTTGGATAGGGCCCAATTTTCAAGTCTGTTGAGGTTCATCTGAATCTTGTGGATATCTTCTGGGGTGTTGGCTATTCTTGCCAGTTTAGTGTCATCTGCAAATTTGATAAATTCCCCTTCTATTCCCTCATCTAAATCATTTATAAAGATATTGAAGAACAATGGGCCTAAAACAGAACCTTGTGGTATCCCACTGCTTATTTTCCTCCAAACTGCAACTGCAACCTCCAACTGTTCCAAACTGCACATTGAGTGCAGTTTCACAAATTGATCTCATGGTGTTGCTGTCTATCCCACATTTCTCCAGCTTATTGTTCTGACCAAGGCTTCCTGAGACAGTAACACTCACATGCTGTTCCCAAAAACCTTTTTTTAATTATTTCAACGGCTGTGAATTATATGCATTCACAGCCTGTAATGAGTCCCAAACAGTTTATAAATAGTCCAACAGAAGTCTGCCACAATCTTTCAGGATAAAACTGATAAAACTGATAAGCACCTATCTTTATCTCCCTTGAAATGCTGCCAATAACTAAATTGCCAATTAGCTGTACAAGGCCAAATGGAGCATAAAGTCAACACAGAGCATCAGAGTTTAAACTGACCAGAACGAACAAAGTTGCTTCCTGCAAAGGATCATGTCCTCCTTTATGTCTTATGGGAAGGGCCAGTCATCTCCAAGCCTTACTCCCGAATCGCCCCTTTTGCTTTAACTGTTCTTGCCTTCTGGCAGCTCTGCGCAAACACACACTGGGAACAGGCTCCCCCTGTTCCTCTGCCTTGCTGATGTCAGATTCTGGAGGCTTCGGAATTAGTGCATAACTCTCAGATGGCCCTGGCCTCATCTCTGAGTCGGATGGAGATCCCTTGTCCGAGCCCTCCACAGACTCCAGAACTGGCCCATTTTCCTCCCCACTGTCTGACTCTGCTGCCAGCTCCGCCGGCTGCCTCCAGACTACAATACTTATGAAGAAGTAGATTGTGGTCTACTTTGTCAAATGCACTACTGAAATCCAAATATAATTTGTCTCCCAGTTGATGTCAGGGTATTTAAAGTCCCCAATCACTACTGTGGTGTGCTTTCTGCATACATTTGTTAGCCAATTAGCAAAAAGTTCATCTATTTTTTTTTGCTTGGTTGAGTGGCCTGTAGTATTCATCTATGGCAATGTCATTCATTTTTCATTTTATATTAACTCATGCATTCTAGGAGACTTTCATCCTTGTTTTTATACATCTGTAGAGTAGCAGTGATTTCTTACATATAATGCAACTCCGTCTCCTCTTTTATCAGGTCTTTTCTTTTGAACAGTTTATATTCTTCCATGAGTAGATTCCAGCTGTGAATTTAATCCCACCAACTTTCAATAATGACAACTAGATGATACCTGCCCTCAATTATTAGTATTTCAAGTTCCCCTTGTTTATTCCCTAAACTTTGAACATTACTGTATTGGCCTTCTGAGTACTTTATGGCTCACCCTGGATATGTTTCCTATATGTCCTAGTTTGTATTTCAGTTTTTTTTCTCCTTCCCATCACTTTCTACCATTTTGTTTGATTGGTTATCTTTGTGTTTGTGTTTGGGTTAGGGTTTCCTCCACATAAAACTCGCCTTAGGATGGTTCCTGCTTCATGAAGCCCAAGTATGCTCATATGTTCCAGCTAACTCTACAGGGGGACCATGCACCTTCATGCCTTTCCTCAAGAGAAAGAAAGAGAATGGACCGTCAACTGCTAACACTAGACTATGATATGCACAGGCTTGCTTAACGAAGTAGAGTATGTCATGCTAGCCACCTCCCTAATAGGAGCCCCAGGGCTAGCTGTCTGCAACTTGAGAAACATCAATAATCTTGCTTGCACATTGGCTAAAAGCCTGAATGCAACATCCCAAGACCTAGATGTACTGAAACAGGAGATTAGACAGATACCTCTGAAGTTACTCTTGAGAAGAGAGCAGCCACTGATTATTTACTGTTGAGACACAACTACAGCTGTGAGGAATTTGAGGGATGTGCTGCTTTAATTTGTCATAAATCTCCCAACTCAGATTGAAACATTAAGGATCTCGGACAGATTTCCTTAAGGAATTGGGTATGAAAAATTCTTGACCTAACAGGGCTCCTATCTTGGCTATTATACCTTCCTTTGCTAAAAGCCTTCTTTCTGGGAGCCATCAACATAATTGCTCTTGGTGCTATACCTCTGTTTATGCAGCATAGGAATACCTTGAATTTTCTGTGACTGCAGCACACTGCTGGCTCATATTTAAGTGATGCTCCACTGGGACACCCAGATCCCTGTCATAGTTACTACTGCTGAGGCAGATAATACCTATGCTGTATCTAGACATTTGGTTTTTCCTGCCTAAATGCAGAACTTTAGTTTTCTCACCATTGAACCGCTTGTTGTTTGATGGAGTCAATGCTCAAGGACTCTGTAGGACTCTATCAAGCTTCTTCTTGAGTCTATGTTTCTAAATGTTAGCAATTAGATTTTATTCAGTGATTCCAATATCACATTTGCCATCTCCTTCAGAACCCTGGGATGTAAACTATCTAGTTCTGGGGATTTGAACTCGTTCAGATTGGATAGATGTTTTCTTAGCAATTTCTTGCATATTTTGATTTTTATTTCTGTTCTATCTCCTATGATACTGTTTTTAGTAGATTTGACTATTTTTTCCTTTTGCATTAAAACAGATGTAAAAAATGAATGAAGCAGTACCATTTTCTCCTTGCTGTTTATCACCTTCTTGACATCTTCTTCCATTAGTATACTGATTACTTCCTTGAGTCTATCATCTGTACCTCTATAACTGTCTGGTTTGGTTCTGCAACCCAACAGGACAGACAGAGACTTCAGAGGATAATTAGGACTGCAGAAAAAACAATTACTACCTACCTGCCTTCAATTGAGGACCTGTATACAGCATGAGTCAAAAAGAGGGCTGTGAAAATATTTACAGATCCCTCACATCCTGGACATAAACGGCTTCAACTCCTTCCTTCAAAACGACGCTATAGAGCACTGCACACCAGAACAACTAGACATAAGAACATTTTCCCCCGAAAGCCATCACTCTGCTAAACAAATAATTCCCTCAACACTGTTCAACTATTTACAAAGTGTACACTACTATTACTGTTAATCTTCTCATCACTCCTTATCACCCATCCCCTCCCACTTGTGATTGTAGGACTGTAACTTTGTTGCTTGTATCCTTACGATTTATATTGACTGTTTCCTAGTATGATTTGATTGTTGATTGTACCCTATGACTATCATTAAGTGTTGTATGTTATGATTCTTAACGAATGTACCTTTTCTTTATGTATACTGAGAGTATTTACACCAAGACAAATTCCTTGTGTGTCCAATCACGGCCAATAAAGTATTCTATTCTATTCTATTCTATTCTATTCTATTCTATTCTATTCTATTCTTGGCTTTGTTCTTGTTTCTTACAATTGAAACTTTTGTTGTTATTTTTGGTATTTGTAGCAAGTTCTTGTTTCTTATAATTGAAACTTTTGTTGTTATTTTTGGTATTTGTAGCAAGTCTTAGTTCACTCTGAGTCTTAACTTTCTGATGTCATTCTTGTAGATTCAGGCTATTTGCTGGTATTCTATTCTAGTTATGTACCCATTTTTCTAATTTAAAAAAAAATTAAAGGATTTGAAAACACATAGCACAATTTTAGTTCACAGTGTAACCAAATTATTTATCAAACTCATGTGATCTTTATAGCTATATCACTTCATTTTGAAGGGCTTTGTTTTGATCTTATATGAATATATCTCACATAGAAGTTTTTGAAGCTGCTCTTTGTCATGTGCTTAATCAGTTGTAACATTGTTTGGGGAAATTTAATGCAGAGGTGCCTCACGCTAGAAAAAAATGTACAAAATGCATTCAGGATTACAATTATTCATGTTTGCAGCAATATGTCCTGTCTATGAAGACTGAACTATGCATCCATTACAATGATAAAAAAACTAAACATTATAAAAGCATATTCATAGCACATTATTCCTTAGGCAGTTAAATTATGATTACAAAGAATTTATGATTTCTGCCCATTTGATACCAGATATAAATGGGTAATGTTGTACTCTGGAAATATTTTGTTCATGTTTTTAACATTATTTTTCTAGAATATTCTGTTATTTCAATCTAGCTGTCTCTTCATGCCCTTCTAATTTTCTTATTTTGTATCCTTGATATAATTACATTTTTAAGAGATTACCTGAGTTGTGCTTTTTTGGTAGATTTCTGCAACAGATCTTGGAGGGCAGTGTGGAAAGAATTTTTCAGCAAATATTCCTTACAACACCTAGGAATCTAAATCCAGGCATCTGTAGACAAATATTGTTCATTTCCTTTTGATGACAACTAGCCTCTCAACTAAGTTGAGCAGAAGCTGATGAATATTGTTATCAGAAGGGAAATGGCTGTTTTCTGAGGATCACATAATCATTTGCCTTAGGAAGATATTTCCAAAGTTTGAGGGCCAATACTGAAAATATTGAGTGTTAAACAGCTGTCTAATTGACAGATATATTCACATCTCAGCAAATATCACCATATCTTTATAGGATGGTGGAATGCATACCCCCATATGCACTGCATATGTTTAGATTGGTAAAGTCTTACCTCAAGCACTATGTATATACTTTGTTCTGAATATGTTTCATGTTTTAAGCCTCTGGCTTGGAAAAGAAATTCACATTATATAGAGAGACAGACATGCCTTGGTAGATAACAACATGAATGTGATAAGCATAATGTTTTTATTAAGTCATACCAATAGCATAGATTTGGTTTCTGGGATTCTTCATACATTACTTTTACTTATAACTGCTGTCAAGAATGAGAATCAGGTGATGAATGTGGAATAACCTCTTAGGAACTGTAGGCATGCCTTGCACCTAGACAACTGCTCAAGAATAAACAGTGGGAATTGGCTGAAAGGTCAGATGGGAAAACACTAAAATTATGGGCAGGGAATTTAACAGTAAGAAAGACGCAAAACATTCTTGTTTGCTAATCCCAAGTCTCCTATGTGATTGCAGTTTAATATGTAAAATTCAGGTCACTTGCCAGGTTTTTGTTGCTACATTAAACAGCATTAAGAAAAAAACATTACACTCTACAGGCAATAAAAATACATTACACAATAGAAAGGACTAAAACTGACATAGAAGTAGGAGCCAAGAAAGGACCACCAAAGTACTAAAAGCATAATTTGTGGTAAACAATTAAATTGTAAATACTATTGATTTGTTTATTTGTTATTTGCCTTATAACTCTGCTGTTAACTTACTATTATTAAAGATCTTTGTTCTACTTTTAACAGGGAATTCACTAAAGGAGAAATAAAGGTCTATATTTCAGCTTGCACATTTTAAGGAAGAGAAAGATTTTGCATTCATGTCATTCCGGATTCAAATATTCTTTGTCTAAACCCTGTCCAAATTCCAGAATCTTTTATTCCAGAACTAGCAATCCTATTTTAGGTATAGTTTAGCAACTAAAGCTTCCCCATTATTTCCCCTTTAGCAGAAAAAAGTAATTTATTTCATTTAGACTGAAATAGAGTGTATATACTGTTTGATTAGCACAGATCCACATTAACTCAGTCAACAATTATGTGAATTTTTGTAATTAAGTGCCTAACATGGTTGCAACAAGTATTTATTCTGAGAGAAAAACTATATCAGAAAAGCTATTACAGCTTGGAAATGCATTTTCCCATTAACTTGTTTTACAGTGAGTGAGGTTAAAGGAGCCTCACTCAAGTCTCTTTCCCTGCCTGAAGATCAAGGAAAGAATATAAAACTTCTTGTTCTTTCTTCCATACTCCAAACAAGAACACGTTAAATAAAGCAAGCCAGAAATTTTCTGGAATTTTCTGAAAAGCATTTCTATATCTTTCTGTTAACTTGGCAGGGAATATTGGATCTGAATTACAGTACTGCTTTTCTTCATTCCACCATTTGTTTTAACCCAGATGCTCTCTACAGTATTGCCAAATTTATTCACTAAGATTTCTGAGCAAGGATTCTGAGTAGTGTGACTCCTTTTCCTTTCTATTTTTTCAGCATCTTTTGATCAAAAATCCTTTGCTTTATTCTATTTATAAGAGTTCATATTAACTAAGCGATAACTATTAAGATATATCTTCTTTCCGGTATGAAAGGTTCAAGCACATCTAGTTTGTTTTCTCTTCTCAATTTTCATGTATAAAAGAGTTGTGCATAGAACTTACAAGAAGTGCTTCTGATTAGGCAAGGGTTCATGCAAAGCACTTTAAAAAAATGGTTGAATTAGCCATGTCTTCAGCAAGGCCTGTGTGGCTGTTGCAGAATCCATTCTGGTTCATCTAGATGTGTGTAGCAGCAATTGTAGAAGCTTTTCAACGATTCAAGTGCTTGAATTATTTGAAAAGAAATGCTTCTGTCATGATGCTGGGTGTTAGTATATTGATAACAGAAACCACGAACGTTATAAGCCAACATTCTTGTAGGTTTTCTCAGTGGATTAATAGGCCCATTGTAGTAATCCCTTCATTTCTTTGTACAGAACATTCTTCTTTAACTGAGGTTTCCATTTCAAGTTTTCATTTTTATTTCCAAAGAATTAAAATGTTCCTCTAATGAGTTTGTCATACCACAGCTCCTGGATAGGCTGTATCTATATTTCAGTATAAGAACTATCCAGGTTTCTGAAGTTAAAATTGGACAGGGAATTTATTTATTTATTTGATTTGTCAATTGCTTACAAGATAATAGGTACAAGTATATACATAGTTATGAATACATGAAATGGGTACATATAAGAAAAATAAAAGAAACAATAGGACAGGGATGGTAGGCACGTTGGTGCGCTTATGCACGCCCCCTACAGACCTCTTAGGAAAGGGGTGAGGTCAATAGTAGACAGTCTAAGGTTAAAGTTTTTGGGGTTTGGGGAAGAAACCACAGAGTCAGGTAGAGTATTCCAGACATTGACCACTCTGTTGCTGAAGTCGTATTTCCTGCAATCAAGTTTGGTGCAGTTAACCTTGAGTTTGTATCTATTGTGTGCTCTTGTGTTGTTATGGTTGAAGCTGAAGTATTCATTGACAGGTAGGACATTGCAATGTATGATTTTATATACCATGCTTAAATCAGACCGAAGATGGCGTAATTCAAGGTTTTCTAGGTCTAGAATTTCAAGTCTGGTGGCATAAGGTATTCTACAACGAGTAGAGGAGTGGAGAACTCTTCTTGTGAAATATTTCTGGACTTTCTTAACTGTGCTAATATCAGATACGTAATGTGGGTTCCAGACTGATGAGCTGTATTCGAGTATTGGTCTAGCAAATGTTTTGTATGCTCTAGTTAGTAGTGTGATATTACCAGAGAAAAAGCTACGTAGGATTAGGTTGACAACTCTTAATGCCTTTTTGGCTATGTAGTTATAGTGGGCTCTAGCACTTAGAGGCGAGTATTCCAAGGTCCTTTACAGAGCTTGGGTCATCAACAAGATCTTGACTATTCAGCTTGTTTTTTATTTTCTGATTTTTTTTGCCAATATGTAAGACAGAGGATTTATTTGTTGAGATTTGAAGTTGCCATTTGTTTGACCATTCTGATACATAGTCAAGATCTTTTTGAAGGGTAGCAGTATTGTCTGTGGTATTGAACAGCTTTACATCATCAGCGAAAAGAACGCAGTTGTTTTTAATATGAGGTCATTTATGTAGAGTATGAAGAGAGATGGTCCTAGAACACTGCCTTGGGGGACACCACTATTGACAGGTACAGAATTTGATAGGACGCTCCCAATTTTGACCATTTGTTGTCTGTTTGACAGGAATGCTTCTATCCAGTTATGCAGTTGTCCAGGGATACCATAAGATTTTAGTTTTAGGAGTAGTTTGTCATGTACCACTGAATCAAAGGCTTTACAGAAGTCTATGTAGATTGCGTCTATTGCTTTGCCCTGATCGAGTTGTGTAGTCCATATGTTTTTGCAGTGTAAGAGTTGCAGATTACATGATAGTTTTTTCCTGAAACCAAATTGTTTATTGGAGAGTAGGTTGTTTGTCTCTAAGTGGAGAATAATGGATTGGTTAATAATTGATTCCATGACTTTACAGGTGATGCAGCATAAGGAGATTGCTCTGTAATTTTCAACTAGGCTGGACCCTTTTTGAAGATGGGGATGACCGTGGCTTGTGACCATAGGTTAGGCAAGGAGCTGGTCCTGAAAGATTTTTCACAGATTATGCTTAGAGGTTCTGCTATGGCAGTGGATAGCTTTTTAAAGAAGTAGGTATATAAGAGACATTTGTTTAAATATTGTAGGATCAATATATGAACATTTCTATAGGCATTCATTTGTAAGGGCATTCCCAAATTGTATATTGAGGACTAACTGTAGAGAACTAGGAAAGTGGCTCTCGGCAAATATTCAGAAACATTTGTATAAACAAAAAGGACAAAAACATCCTCCTTCTTGACTTACTCCTCTATAAGAGGGAAGGCAGGAGAGAATAGGGTTTATTCTCCAAAGCAGGACAAGAAATAACCAGGAGAAAAATCATTAAAGAGAGCTCCAACCTAAAACCAAGCAGAAATTTCCAGACAGTGAGAACAATAAATCAGTAGAATGACTTATCTCTGGAATCTGTGGATGTTCCATCATTGAAGGTTTTAAAGAATAGGCTGGGCAGCCATTTGTCCAGAATGATATAGGGTCTTCTGCTTGAGCAAGGGGTTGGATTAGAAGACCTCCAAAATCCCTTTCCCTATTATTCTATTTTCATGATCATGCTTGCAAGATTCTGTTACTATAACCCATCCAATATAGTTTTGGTCTTCCCCTTTGAATGTGTTTCCTGATCTGGTTTACCTTGAAGGATTGACAGTAAAAAAGGTTTTTCTGGATTGTTGCCAAGGGATTTATATAAGTTATCACAGAATTACTGAAACAAAGCTATTTCTACTCAAATGAATACTGCAGAAACCAATTTGAACTTCCATAGACAACATCACTATCTTTAATGACAAAGCTTCTCGAGGGGAATTTCTCAAGCTATGAATGTGATCCTGTCAGAACTGCCATCACATGCTTGAACTTTGCATTTGCTAGCTGCCAGTCTGCCATGAACTATGCGGGAGAGAGCTGGTCAGGAGAGCTGGGGAAGGCTCATTGTGTCTTCCAGAAACACCATCAAAGCACTGGGAATGGAATGCAAAGGCTTATCAACCAAGCTGCTGTTGAAGAGTCAATTTCCCCCAAAGAATCTATTCAAATATAATTGGACAATAAGGGACCAGCAAGGAGAAGAAACTAGGGAGGAATTGAATTGAGAAAGTTAACTCAGAAAGTTTGGCATGTGAACTTCAATCCACTTGGATTGGATTGACTGTAATCCACTTGGCCTTTAGTAAAGTAAACCTTTCACCCCGAATGGAGCTGAGGGTCATTCTTACTTAAGGGATCAAGTTAGGGCAGGACTGACATATTCTTTCAATAGAATGCAAACCTTTCCAGCCTAAGGAAATGCAGCTACCCAGACTATGCACCTGCTAATAAAGCCTTTGTCTTTCCAGGACTGAGCTTCAGTTTATTCGTACCTTATCCACTCCCTCATTGCAGTCAGGCATTAATTAAACATTTTCCTTATCTTTTTTTCTGGTAAAGATCATCCTGCAGGACAATTAAGGCAATTTCTGTGCCAAAATAAAAATAATCTATAAAACCCATTTTATGAGAAAAATGTTTCATAGTAAATTCTTTCTTACTAGAACAAGAGAAGTATTCTGCCATTCTATTTTTGCTTTTTATATTGCTCAGAGTTTGAGAAAATAAATGGTTTTTGAAACAGCATTCCCACAACGACAAATGATTTCATTTTTCTCTTCTAGATTATTGTTTCTATATTACACATTCTTTTACTCTAATGTTAAGTTGTCTATGGAGGGGGAGGGCAGAGAGCCTCCTGCAACAACAACTTCTTTGACATCATAGGTTCCCTGTGGTTGGTTCCTTAATTATTCAATTAAAAATGTTTCTTTTCATGACAGCTGCTACGTTGCACAGTACATATGCTGACTCTTAGATATAGAACAGCTTTCAAGAAACAACTGCCAATGTCTTTTCATAACTTTCATATCCAATGTTATAAAATCATCTGCTTGGTTGTAGCAGTTTGACTCCATAAAAGTGGAGGAGATGGTTTATAATTGGGCTGGAAAGTAACCTAAAAATCATGATAGGCAGTGCTCTATTAACTCTGTGTAAATCCCCCCCACCCCGCTTCGAAATCAACCAATATTAACTTGGGTGCTTCCATTTGCTGAGACATATCGTTATTAGGACTAACATTTGATTTTCCACAATTATCTAGAATCTTTAAGGAATTTACATATCTTATCTTCAATCATGAAATGTTCCATATAGCTTATAAAGGTTAAATAATTAAATATAGTATATAAAAAATTAAAAAATGCAAACCAGCCAAAGCAAGCAGTATTTAAATACTGATAAATATAATTGTTTACTTAGAAAGCAGGCATATTATTATCAATAGCATCTACTCTCAGGTGAGTATGAATAGGATTACAGTCTTTTTCCCCCCGATTTAAAACATGTAGAAGAATAAAATGTGACTCAAATGGATCATTAGGATGCTAAGAATGCTTCCCTA